AAAAAAAAAAAAAAAAAAAAATAACCAGGTTGAAGTTGTAGAATTATGTTATAACCGAACCTTTTCCTTTCCTTCTTTATTCACTTTAGATTCAAAGAGCTGGTCTCTAAATACTTTATAGACAGTTGGGAGGATAAGTGTCAAGAAACGAAGGGAAACTAATCAATTTCTTCACCTGAAATTGACAGTCTGATTGCTGGAGCACCGTAAAACTCTGTGGTCGATTGTGGCGAAAATTTATCATTGACAGAAGATGGGTCAGGTATATGCATGGCTGCCGAAATAATTACACGAGAACTGAACTAAATTAACATGGCATAAGGAAACCATTTCTGGTCGAAAAAAAGCAAAACATATATGAAATAGCATGTATGAGTATCATGAAAGGATTTAGAACACTGCATCCAAAAGAAAGGAAAGATTTTTCTTCAGCGCGTCTTGAATCATCTGGTTTCGAATAATGAAGGAATGCATGATTGAGTATTTTGACGACCGTACAAGATTATGATCATAAATGATTAAGTGGAACAATAAAAAGTTCTCAAATGTCAAGGCTGTCGTCAGAGCTCAACCGGTCTTCAATGTGAGCCTTAGCCAATTCATACGCTTAATTTAGGCACAAACCCAAAACTCAAGTATTCAAGAAGTTGTCGTTACTGATGACTGACCACCATGCATGAAGAACGAACTATATTTGTAAGGGCCAGTAGCCCTACTATGTTCGGATCAAGTAGTCGCTGTTTGTAACGAAACTGATATAGTCGCTCAGTAGAGGTTCAATTGTTGTAAATTCCTAAGCCATAGCAAACTCAGTAAACACTATTTGGCCGCTTACGCACGCAGTGCGCTCGAAAAAAAAAGTGCGTAGTTTCACACGCGTATTTTGTCATAGAGATCAACTGGACGTGTTCCTTGAAGTGTAGTGTAATAATGTCCTCGTCAATCAAAAATTAATAAAAGGAAACTATTTTTCATTGTTAAAACAGTTATCGATCACAGTCATGCTCCAATTTATGATCTCTCTTTTTACCACGCCTGAGGCATCAAATCTTGAATCGGATCGGAAGGGGGTATGGGATGATTATAAATTTTTATGGCCCACGTTTCGACTGTTGTAAACAATTTGATCCGTGAATGAAAATTTAATCAGCGACCCTGGCTATTCACAGAATGACTATTTTAAGAAGCTTTTGTAAAGAAAGTATCTCGATTCAATTTTTAATTAGCAGGTGTAGTTGACTCGGCTACGTGCCGCTTTTTTTCTTCAGTTGCCGATTAATATGAGATTGTCTTTTCTTTTTCTTATAAACATGAGCTAAAAGAGAACTGACGAAAAACTACAAAACTGTAAACCGCCGGCAGCTTCACCAGCTTCGACCCTCGAAAACCACTACACCATACACTCGAAACTACGGACAATGACACCGGTCCTGGTCCACCGATATTACACGCGAGACTTAGTTGTAGTAAATTGCAGGTTCTAATAGAAACTTCAACTGAACGAGGATGAATAAGTTAAAAATTTAGGCGATACGCGATCACTTTGAACACTTGGTCGACTAGCTCTTCTGTTTAGCTTCGGTTAGTTTATCCTAACATTCGTTCGAAACAATCTTGAAATACAGAGAAGAGCTAAGTAGCCTCGATAACTTAAAAGAGACGGCGAGAAGGAAATTAATCTAGACGTTGGTGTGTGAATTTGAGAATGGAAAGAAGCGTGAGTTAAGCCTCTTTAAGACGATGAGTCAGATTACAGCAAGGCGGCGTTTTTTCGCAAAGGGCGCAAACCTTAGGAATGGCTACTACAAAACGTGTCAACTTCACTTGGTGATGAAATAAATAATCGGAGATAATCTTTCGAAACTGCCATGATGCCAAGTAGAAAGAAACATTGCGTGAATAAGACTTCCTTGAACTCAGTTGGTGGCCCCGAACAGTCGTGCTAAGATGTAAGCAAGACGCCATAGCGAACCATGCTTAGTCGACTTGGGCGGTTCTGTTAAAACCCGCAGCCTCCACGGAACTTATGCGCATGCGTGTATTTCTGAGCGCTTTCGGCAGGAGTCACGAAATTTGATGTCAATAAAGGCCCAAAACTTCCACCTGCAGTTTTTGGCGTCGTTGTTTGTTCAAATTAGACAACAGAAATAATAGCAAGGGCTTTTGTGTCATCTACAAGCCCCGTGTTTTGTCTCGAAAATGAAAAGCTACTTGGAATTGAGTAAGTTTCGCTTCTCATAAGGAGGGGTCTGAAATAGCAGGGGACTATCGTTATCGGACAATCTTGAATTCATCGCTTTATTGAGGTTCAAAGGAGTTTTGGCTAACGGAAAATTCGATAGATTTTTTAAGTGACTTTATTCCTGTTTTATAACATCGACAGGTTGTAAAACATCTATTTTAATTCTCTATTTCGATTTTTCATTGGTCAGAAAGGAACGATTTTCAGCTATTTGTTGCACTTAAATCTTTTCAGTCTTACTTCTTAGGCGCAGACATCGCTCATCTTTTTTTCAAGAAAAAATGTTGCATCAGCGTATTTTCAACAAGCCTTCACTGACAAAGAAATTGTTTTAATATTGGTAAACACGAGCAGGATGAGGGGAATATAATTAGCACGCAAGGAAAAAATAATTCGAAGGACACCTCAAGCCGATTTCATGAGCACAAAAGTAAGAATATTTCGGATTTTAACCCAAAAACAACTGCCATTGTGCCAATTTTTGCTGCATCATTGCAATTTTTTTTTTCCTTTTCTGATACATGACACGGTCGTAATAAATTCACAAACCGCAAATGTAAAGAAAAGGGAGAATAAAATAACAGCGTCATGAATAGATAATGAATTATTTATCGCAGTTTCTTTGTTTAGTGGTGTTCAGTCTGGCGCTGTTGGTCGTCAATAAAATAAATACGTCTTGAAAGAGCGGTCACACGAAAGTCAAAAATTTCCCTTTTACCCTCAAGGGAATATTCCTTGACATGAAAATATTGCCTAATACAACAGTAAATACCAGCGGCGACCATTAGAATTTCAATCTTCATAAAATGCCTCAGGACTAGAACATTGATTCCGTTTGATGTTGAATGGAACTTAACCGCAAAACATTCCCAGCTAGGGTAGGGCTGAGCGTTTTTCAAGACCCCTTTCTTCATTTTGACACCTAGATAGGAAATTTAGTATTTTGAACCCCAGTGTTAATATTTTCTGAAAATGCTAGATGAAGAAGTAAATTAAGTGGAAGTAATTCCGGCGTGGAATTTAAACATCACGAGGACCTCGATGTGTCCTTCTCCCCTCCCGTGTAAAGATCAGCTCACATACCAGACGGAACATCAGAATGAGGCTTCCGGCCAATCGTCTGGGACAAAGTTGATATGTAGGCAGTCTGAGTCTTGAACATTTCTCGCCGGAGGCACGATCGGTTTAGGTTAATGTATTTGGGTCGTGCTATGTTTCATCAAAGGCGACCTAGTCGTTTCGAGGCTTTCACTTTCACAAGATGAACACACAGGATACGCGAAATCAACAGATGTTCAAAATTCGTCGAACTACCTTAGGATTTGGTGTTGTTCAAATCCTTCTAGGCGCCTCATTAACTGCGTTGTCTTTCACAGCTTTCGCCCTCACTTCTTCGGATAGAATCCGAAACGCTTGTCCTTACTGGGCTGGATTTGCGGTAAGATCCCCTCGCCTTGTATGATTTAAAATCTGTGACCATTGACTGTAGTGTTGAGATGTTAGCGTGATTTCGATTGACAAACTTGTCGCTTGTGTTCCTGTAATAGGTTTTTTGGAGCGGAGGTGTAGGTATAATTGCTTGGAAGCATTCGTCTGTGATGTCGGTGAGTCTATTGAATGTATATTTGTCACCCTCAAATCTCAATTGAAGCCCACAAGTACAGTCTCTCGATCATTTGAATAGAAGTTCTTCGTAGATGTAGCTTTCGTGTCGGTGATTTCCAAAGCCAAAGCTGTAGGATTAAAAATAATTTCCTGCGTGTCGGTTTATTTATACACAGAACAAGACCTCCTTTACTAGCTGTATTAGAGTTGCATTATTTTTTTCCTATCAACATCACCCTATTTTTACTGAATAACATTTCCTTCGGTTTAAACACTGAAGGAAAAATAGTGTCGACAAATTATGTATGCTTGGACTCGTGCGATGTTTGTCCAGACTACACGAAAGGAGGGGATGAATGACATCCCTCTGCTGTTGACTTAATGTCCTTTACTCTAGGAGCACAACTGAAACTAAAATTTGGAATTTTCCTTCTCACTACACGGTCTTTCGTAACTTCTAAGTCGAATTCATTTTTATGAAATGATCAGACAGGTATTAGGCGTGTTGTCAGTAGTCCAGAGATGTGGTATATCAAGTAACAATTTTTAATTCAACTAAAATCTCTCAAGTTTTATTCGTTTCGAGGCTTCGAAGGACCACAGTTTTTCAATTTATTGGATCCCTGCTCAGTTAATGAATTTTGAAGCAAATTATAGTATTATGGTTTTTTGAGAACCTGAAAGGAAAGAAAAAGATGTCCTTCTTTGAGCTGTTTCTGTCTATACAATATGCAAAAATTTCCCAAACCAGACTGTACACACATTGAACATTAACCTTGGTCCTAGCTGTATTTTAAATTAAGTCTTGTTGTGTTTTCCTTCTTTGTAAATTTTAATTAAAAGGTTACTGTTTACCTACCACGATCTGCCACTCAAATATCATTTAATACCCTCCCTAATTTTGTAAATCGTGAATGGAGGGAAAAAGTGCTCTAAATTTCCCTGTATTGACAGACACTTGATGTTTACACTGTTATTTTCAAGGGGGTTCAATGTGTTGTTTGAGATGGCATGTGTAAAAAATTAAAGGCTTCTAAACAAGGGGGAGTTTATTTATAGTCTAAAAGGTATCTCGTTTTGCTGCTGGTATGTTTGGGTTAGTTTAATACATAATGAAGATCACAATCAGGGTAAAGTTACAGTTTAAGAACTAACTTGTGGATAAGGAGAAGTTGTTCTGCTATACTGTAATGAAATGACAGAAACGGAGATGAAGTTGTTGTGCTATACTGTAATGAAATGACAGAAACGGAGATGAAGTCTTTCTTCTAGAGTCATCTACATGTGCTACTAATTGTCATTTTGTGATGACCGACTCCCAGATGGCCATCGAAAGTTCAGTTAATTACAACTGAAAATGAAATATTGTGATGACTGGAATCCATTTTATTTTCATTAGAGATCTGAGCAGTTCTATTTTTCTCAAAGGTTTCAGTCATCAGGAGTCGACTGTACAATTTCTTTAAAAGAAATTTCTTTTAATAAAGGTGCTGCAGAAGTTTTAACTTTCAAAGTGCTCTGGCTTTTGAAGTAATCTATATATTTAGTTTTGTTTAAATTCAGTGTGAAAGTCGTGTTTTATGTACATGTCATTTTTGTTTAAAAGAATAATCTATTTGAAGATTCTCAAGTGATTAGGAAGATATTTGCACACAAATAATACTTTAATGAGGGGTTAGAGGGCTGACTCTACAAGAAACCACTTGGAAGTGAAAAAGTTGTCTAACGCCAGAAATTACACCATATGAGAATAGTTTTGGTTGGGGAGGAAATAAAGGCATAAGTTCTGGGTTACTTCTTAACATAAGAGCATGCTCAGCCAACGAGAATATTGAAATCAAGCTGGGTATGAATTACGACAAATTAAACACGGAAATATGGGGCTTTGATGTATGCATAAGCGTGAAATCACTGTAACGAACATTAATGGGTAAGCGATGATTACAATAAGAATGAGGGGCTAATGAGATTATCTTTTTGGGGTCTACTTATGGAAACTTAAAACAAAGGAAATGTCTGAATCGTAACCCTTGAAAGTGTTTGCAGCTGCTTACAGAAAAGCATAAATATGGAGTCTGTATAGATTCAAGTTGGGCTTTGTGAAGGTGGTCATGAAAAGAGACATGTGCTAACAAGAGTGTTACAATAGCATCTGTTGTATTCGAAGACTTAGATGTAATGTGTTATTCTAGGAGACTGATCTCTTACACTTTTTTCTTATTTCATTTAACTACTTTCATGCATCACAGATATGTTATTTGACCTTATTTTCAGACTGTGTTGTGGTTAAGCAAGTTATTACTCGAATTAAGCCCGAGTCTGAAGAACGGAGTCGCACTTTAAAGATGTGTACATTCTAGCATGCTAAACAATCCTTTGTAATTTGATTGGGGCGTTTTGAGTGCAGTACTGACTCATTCTTTTTAAGAAGTGGTAGCTTGTTTTTATCCTTTCTTTATGTCTACTCTTTGAACAGAGTGCAATATTTGGACAGTTGAAAACTAGCTTGACCTTGCTAAGCATTTTGAATGGGTTAATTTGTGACCTGAAGCAGTACGCACGCAAATATTTTGTTGTTTGTCTGTCAATATCAACAGTGTACCAGTGCAAAGACTTGAGGTGTTAAGTTCTTAAATGCCAGATTATAAAGTCATAAATCTTGCACTGTATGACACACAAACTTCTGACTTCGTGAAGTTGGTGAGTTGGCAATATAAATGGCAGATAATGTCTCAGACTAATATGGAGTTGATAACAAATACCAGACATTAATCCTCGTGACCTTTAGGTGCTTTACATACTTTTGCATAATCATATTGCTATTGTTTTCTGGGTTTCTCTACTGAAGCAAAACTTTTTCAGACAAGCTGAAACAGCTTGAGACCCATGTGGTCCACGCATTGCTTGAGTTATTACACTGACAGATGGAAATTGCTTGATACAGGTACATGCACTATGTTGAATGGAAAAGTTTGCATACTTAGCATTAAATCATCCAATTCCTTGATGGTATTCAGGTGTTTGAATGGTCTCTTTTCCAATTATTCAATTATTCTAAATTTGTCAAGTGAAAAAAACACTATTCCAAAAGACCTTGCTTGTTATCAAAGGTATTGGTTTCATTCTGCCTTCATGAATTATTAATTATTTGAAATTTCTAGGGCATGGAAATATGTGGAAAAGCCTACTCCACAAACTCAATGAGAAAAATCATTTGCTTGGTCAGTTTAAGCAGTAATGCTTTGATTCTCTTGACTCAAATTGCAAATGAGAGACACAATTACATTCACAGAAAGCATGATTGAAACACTTAAGCAAGTGATTTATGGGCTGTTTGAAACCAGAAACACCTTTATTTAGTGGCTGATGATGTAAACTTGTGTTTTGTGGACGAGGCTGTCCAGAAAAACATAACAATGTAACTCAACCTTAGCCTATACAATTTTATGGTTGAGAGAACTAAACTTTCAAAACATTTCTCCTCCTTATGATGTCTACAATTTTAATAAGCGTTAAAAACACTATGGAGTGTAACCTTACCCTTCAAGCAGCAAGTTTCTTCAATGCCACCGAGTAATTCATTTTGAAATCAGGTTTTTCCTACAAGGCCAATATCTCAAAAACATTTTCGGGTGAGAGACAAAGCTGATTTTCAAACAAGTTTTACATGGCTGATAGAATTAGACAGGATATTGCAAGAAAGAAATGTTTACCTTAATTGGGCAGAAGTCCATTGAATGGCACCTTAAGAAAAACTTAGCCAATTCAAGTTTCTCCTACTTCTTATTTTTCAATCATTTGTAGGCCTGCACCACTGTCAGTACTTTATCATTCCAAGTAGGAAAAATCTCCATTTTTTAGCCATTGTAGACCACAAATACAGGGCACATTTTAACTCCAACAAGGACTGTCCAGTGTCTAGCATTCAACCACCTGCTTTTTGTCTCCACTATCACAGATTTCATCAGTAAATTCAGTGCAAATGTTCATGAAGCACTTCTAATGTTTTCCAAGTACACTCTTGGTGAAGAGTTTGATAAAGTTGTTTTAAGTGGCTGTACAAGCAATCTTTCGATGCTTATGTTAGCAAAGATTCATTGTCTTTGAAAATTATTTATGTCGCATCTCAACTTCTGCGCATGTACTGTCAAGTGTTTTTTGAGCCAGTGGTCTTTTCAGGCATGAATTGAGCTATCAATCATATTCTTTGTTGTGGTTTCTGCTTGGAAATATTTTGAGGTCACTGTGTGCATTTGTGTACTATAACAGTTAAGGAAAATTTGTTGTAGCACCCCTTTTTTGATTGGTTTATCGCCATTTTACAACAACTGGACTTTGCAAACAAATATAATTACAATAAGTGTTATCAGGACAAAATGTTCTCACAATTACACAAAAATTAAAATGCAGTTTTACAGAGTCGTTTGTCTTAAATATTTTGAGCCAAGTTTTAAGCATTAGTGCCAAGTTTGCTTGATAAAACTGACCATAATATCAAAGTTTTTTTGTTATCTTAGTTTCAACAGATTTTTCAGGGGGTTTTTAGTGCTTTTAACGAGACCCAACACCCCCTGGAGCTCTGGTGGGTATTCTGTTGTAAATCATGGGGTGTACTTTGCCACATCCAAGATGAATTAACATGCATTAGATAACATAGAAAATAGTAGTCAATTTAGCATAATTGCAGTATTCACCCTATTTATTTTTCATATCCTGTGGTCTTTGACTGTCATTCTTTCACTGGCAGATTTCTTTTTCTGCTTTTTTGCATGTTCTAGATAAATTCCTCATACATGAAGTAGAAGTACACATCATTGGTTACTTACTATAATTTTCAAACAGCTTTGCACTGAACTAAAATCATAAAAATAAATTGGACAATTAAAACAACAGCTGTTCTTCTCAACAGCCAGTTTGAAAACAAGCTTGAAAATCTGAATTGATAATAAAAATTAATAGCGTGCTTGTTGATAAACACTTATAAATCAAATTGGGAACTTCATCGTAAAGATGTTACCACGTAAGTTTGCATATTAAGGCTTAACCAAGGCTCAACTACAGAGAGAGAAACAAAAACAGCCATTGAACACTTAGTGTCTAACCTTTTAAAAAGCTGCATTTGCTGTGAAAAGCAAAGAGGACTGTGTTCCTATAATGGTTACTGGTTAGCCAGAGCATGTAGTAAGTTAAGTGACTTTTGGTCAATTTTTCTGAAGCAATCAGCAGCTCTAATCTAATTTGAAACACAAGCAGTGGAAACAGGTAAATTTTTTTGGCTGATTGATTTAATTCAACCATCTTGTGTAAATGTTAATTAGCTGCTAAATGCATTAGTATTGAAACACTTAAGTCTACAGACTAGATTAATCCTGGCATGAAGTTCACTGCTGCATATCTTTAATTTCACCCAGAAAAAAAAAAAAAAGAAAAACATTCTGCATTTCAAGGCAGGGGACAGAGAGGTTTGTTTCCAATTACAAGCAGAAGAAAACTCTGTAAACCAAGATCATTCTAATAAATAAGAAAGATGGTTCACTTTGAGCATGGTAAAGAAATAGCAAAACATAACTTCGTTATGGTCTTTCTCACAGTAGAGTCTTTGTGGCTCAGAGGTAGAGCATTGGAGCGTGGAATCCAAAGGTCTGATATCTCATGGGGACTCAAAATTGTTCCTTTGCCCCACCTTTGTGACAAGCTGAAAAACATCCTTCACTAAAGATCACGTACTTTTTAAGCAACTCTGAGTCAAAAAGCAATGGAATGAATTGGCCATGTGAAGGAAGGTTTGGATTGTAGCATCAAAATTTGAGAACATGTCCTTAAAGGAAATTTGATACACCCAGGATATTTTCTTGTATTATTTTGTAGACTCCTGTCTTTCTGGATCTTTCTGTGACTTTTGGAAGCTTTCAACTCTACTCAGGAAGTAATACCTACTGTAAAACACCTATTTTAGACTTCTTTCATTTGACTTTTACCTTAACAAAAAGTTTTGTTAAAAAGAACTGATATTGTCAAATATCATATACCACATTTCCAGCCAAAAAGAAAAGACAAATTTGAGTTTCCAAGAATATACATACACTGACTCAAATTTTGATTACCAGTAACCAAATGACATTTCAGAGAACTTTTACATGAAACTCAGGCAGCAAGTTTGCATTTCAGCAAATGGAAGATTTTGAATATTAGAAATAAAGTGATCAGTAAGCAATTGTTACAAAAGAAACTAATATTTAATGATCATTTGGGGAATTGTAACACCAAAAACATGGAACTGATTGGCTAATGCATCTGAATTATCAGACCCTCTACTTTTTGCTGATGACACCAGTATCTTTTATTCTCACTCAAATCTAAATT